TTTTATTGTAATTTTCTTTTTTTCTATGGAAACTAAAATAGCTGTCTCAAATGTGGTTTATATCTTCAGATTTTATCAAGACTTTAATACAGATATATAAATGACTTATAGTCACATAACATATTTATTTGACCTAACAACACAGACTATAGTCATATGACTTACCAACACAGAACTTTCACTCTTCTGTCTACACTAAATTATATTCTAAACTACGGTACAAAAAAGATGTTTTATAATATGAACAGAGATCTCCCTCTTTCAGAACTGGACCTCAAAAATGCCACTTCAACCTTTTTCACAGAAAGTTTACCTTTTCTCTTTTAGCAGCAGATAACAGTTTTGACTTTATCACTATGACAATTCATCATGCAGCCAAGATTATATGGACAGAAAACAGAGACGTTCATGACCTTGGCAATCAGTATTACTTGTTTGACCTCCTAGCATGACCTTGACATTCAGTATTACCTGTTCATGTTTGACCTCCTAGCATGACCTTGACATTCAGTATTACCTGTTCATGTTTGACCTCCTAGTATGACCTTGACATTCAGTATTACCTGTTCATGTTCGACCTCCTAGCATGACCTTGACATTCAGTATTACCTGTTCATGTTTGACCTCCTAGCATGACCTTGACATTCAGTATTACCTGTTCATGTTTGACCTCCTAGCATGACCTTGACATTCAGTATTACCTGTTCATGTTTGACCTCCTAGCACGACCTAGATAATCTGTATTAAATGTTGTCTGACCTCCTAGCAAGACATAGGGTTTCAGTATTATACAATGAACATTTTTTTATCTGCAATACTTAAAATGATATAAATGCCCTGGAATTTTCTCATCACCTAACCTTCTGCTTATAGACCTTCCCCAATATTCACTTTTTTGCTAGATAATTGAACACAGCTGATAATGACTTGAAGGCATATCAAGATATCAAATTATGACAGTTTTCAAATAAATACTAATTGAAATGGTGATTTCTACAAAATGTAATTATTTTCCCTTTAATACTACAAAAACTGTATCATATACCAATTACATTAAGAAACTGCCCTTTAGCAACTTAATTAATTATTTTTTCTTATAATATAAGAAAGGTTTAATTCATGATAATTTATGGTGAATGAGATTTAAACACCAATACTGTTTGGCATATAATACACTGAAATTAAGTGTCAACATATCCAAGAGTGGGGTTCACATGTCCCAGAGTAGAGGTTATGATCCTTGAATAGGGAAATGTATAGCGAGTTAGAAAAAATTATATGACCTTTGATTAGAACAGCTGTCAAGTTTAATTCTATGTTTTGGTTGAAAATTATTTGCTAACTGAATGCCAATTTAAACTGAATTGAAATGGAATGTCTTAAATGACCATAGATAAAACATCACCAACTTTTAACAAACTATTAAAACTTTGACCCTTACCATACTAAATATCTTAAAGAGACTTGTGCTTTCAAATTGACAAAACAATTCATAACTTTTAGGGACAAATCAAAATAGCAATGAAGACCTAGGGCTGCACTGGTTGCACGGGTAGAATCTGTTGATGCCAGCCAGCTATGAGTTAAACTTATGCCTCCACTTCATTTGCAGTCACAGTGAAATGTGTACATTCTTATGCATATTTTATAAAATTCAACTGTATGCCAGTGCTTTCTCTAGGTAATGGTTAGACAAACATCTTAGTGATCAAAGCTATGGTGACCTTGACCTCAAAGTCACAAGTGTCATCTACTAGCTGGTTAGGCTGTTGGTGGTCAAGGCCATGGTGATCTTGACCTTTGACCTAAATTTGAATAGGGGTCATCTATTAGTCATGAACAATCTCAACACTTGATGTAAGGGCTAATTCAGAGCCAAAATGCTCTATAATTATTGGTCAGACAAGCAAGTGGCCAATGTCATGGTGAACTTGACCTTGACCTTCACCATAGGACTGTGATACAAATCATTCCCTAGATATTGATGGACAAGGAAGAGGTGACTATGTACATATTACTGACCAACCTCATCACACAACTCTGAACATGCGTCTGCAGAACAATGCCAGTATTTCAACAGCGATTTGTTTTTTTACCAGTCATTAATAAATTTCGTCTGAAGAAATGTGCATTGTAACAGCTTTATTATATTATATCACTCTATTTTACAATTACATTACATAGGCAGTTGCCACAAAGGGATCAATGTGTTAAGTTGAACCTCCACATCTTGAAGTCTAGGAAACTAAGTACAAATTTAATACATCAACATAATCAAAGTTTGCTCCTTTATTCAAGTAATGATTTCAGACACTATAGTTTAAATTTTCTAGAGCATTAAAAAGTCAAGAATAAGAATAAATGTTAGATCCATTCAGTAAAAATCTGTTATTGGCAAGTGTAATTCAGCCAAGTGTAAAGGGAAATAAATGAGAAAGCATTTATTTTTTTAAATCTGCTGTTTACCTCCCTTTGCAGAACTTCAGTACACATATATCTTTTTAGCTTTATAGCTCAACAAAATGATGAATCTAGAATGTTCAGGACAAACAAAAGCTCTCAAATATTATACAATTTCAAATAGGGAGATTTATTGTCATATAGTAATTCTGGGTTGATGTTATTTCAGTACAGGAAATAATGGCCAGGAATAATTATATAAATAATCTGGATATAAAATATACATCTAAGAATAATTATTATTGTCTTTGTATATTCGTAAATCATGATCAAATAATAACAAGCTCATATAAATTTACATAAAATACAGAAAAAAGTTTGCAATTTTAGAGTTTTGCTATTTTAGTCTAGAAAAATGTTATTCTCCCAAAACATATAAAACCTGTTAAAAGTAATTCTAAATCATTTTGTAAAGAGGAAAAATCTAGGGAAACTATTTTATGAATCGTTTTAAGATCAAACATATTGCAGTTTATTATCCTGGAACATATTATTATTAATGTCTTGCTTTTAATGGGATTCAGTAATTCAAGCAATTCAGTAGTTTTTGTTTATTTTACCTGTAGTTGTTAAATACATGACCCAGTAATTATACAAATGAACAAAATGTTTTGCTTTGAAGAAATATATTTTAGTTAATCTGATATTTCCCATTAATCTATAAAAGTATTTTAATGTAGATTATTTCTATTTTGCTAACAGCAGTTGATAATTGCACAAAGTCTCTCTCAATCACAGTTCACAGCAGAACAAACACAAAATACAGAAGAAACAAGTTATATTTTTTTGTTGATTTTTTTTTTGTGTATGCATAGACAAATATTCTTCTGTAAAAACATTATTACAGTAAGATTTTATCAAGTACCAAAAAATGATGCAACAGGGTATCAATTTACGTATTACACCAATTTTCTCTAAAAAATGTTAACTTTAAAAATATTCATTACAAGGATATGCTAAACTTTATGCTATCAACTTTATATAATATTATATCTTAAACCATTTTGTTTATAAATTCATTTTAACATCAACAGTAGAATATAACTCAATATACCTTACATAACGTATGCTTAACATTTTCCATTGAGAAACACTTTCATTTAGAAATAAAGAAAAAAAATCCTTCAAAGAATTTATCATGAAGTTATCTCTAGAGAAAGTACCTGCTTTAAGCCATCCATTCTTGACCCTGTGACCCTGATTATTTATCTTATTGTTTTTTTACCTCCTACAACATTTTACTTCCGAAATTTAAACTATCCCACCTGCCAACATAGGCTCTTCCTTAAACACATTTTAATCAGTTTAAATGTGCATTTATTTTAAAATGATAGTTATCTTAGATCAGGGATTTATAATCTTGTATATCAAGCATCAACTGATATGCACTGTCATAATTAATAATGGTTAAAAAATATTTTAAACAAACAATTTGTTGGATCAATATCCCCCACCATATGATACAAAACACTCAATCAGTACAATGTATTATGTACTATAAGTGAATAAAAGTAAAAATTGAATTTGATTTTTTTTTCACTGAACAATAATGAAACAGTTAAAGCCTATAACATTAAAGAAGAGTGCCATGCAATATAGTCTCAAAAGAAAATGACCTTTTTTTTTAAATATATTATGATGACATTGTGTAAAGATGGACAGTGTCATCTCATTGAAACAAATTCTGATTTCATTGGTTGGATATAAAGAATATCTTTCAGTACAAATACTGGTATTTCAAAAAGAAGCAAGCTAGTTAAACCACCCTGGTATTCTGCATTCAAAATCAAATCGCTGAACATTTAATTGATAGATATTTCTGTAAATATTAACTAACTGAACAAGCAATGCAGAAATGGCAGCAATATATGATTCTTTCAGATGCATCAGACAAGCTGTGGATCAGACACACTAGATGCAGTATTACAGTTGAAATTTTCTTCACAATTTCTTTGTGCAAGTAGATTTTCAAGTCATTCAGTCACAAATTTCTCTCATAAGGCAAGTTTAGGAGAGAGTGGATGAATTTTATGTAGATTTTATAGTCTATTCAATGCCAAACTGCCCCATAAAGTTAACAAACACCACATTATAGCCTGATTTACATATTCACAGTGCCGGGGTGTTTGTATAATGCAGACAGATCCAATAGCAGCTGATATTGTTCCCTATTGAACATATGCAATATTATTTATATTCTAGAAATCCCATCATATTAAGAGTTATAACAGGTTGTTCAAATAACCTTACTTTGTGTCTTTTCAATTGTAAAGGAACCCTTAAAATGCTAGAGCAATGAAACAAAAGACCTATCTTATAAGTATAGAGCCTTGTCAACTTGCAGATCATTTTTTTTACTGTTCACTGTATGGTTTAATTAATCAAACTTGCAGTTCCAAATTCTAAGCAGAACATTACTAACATTCCAGCAGTCAGAGTTAAGGACAGGAAAATACTGTGTCATCACAAGTACTCTGTAGTGCATGAAGTACATTAGTATTATTCTGAGTAAATCATATTATATACAAGTAAATATTTACCTCTCGAATCTTGGACAAATTGGAGCTGTATTTATGATGTTCCCCACCACTACCATCTTGACCTTCCCCTGGCACAAGTACCTGGTAATATAAGCAATAATGAAATTATATAACCAATAATGAAATAATTATATTCATGGTCACTCACATTAACACAATGTGCAACTTTAACTGAAAGGCCTATGCCACCAGTATAAAGGAAGACCAGCCCACATGTCTGTACAGTCACACCAGCCTTTCTTCTATCACCTGCTCAATATTGCAGTACATCTATTCTGTAATTATTTAGTGGCCTCAGCTGTGTTCCAACTTTCTTAATTTTTATGTTTAATTACCTGAACTTATGATATTAAAATGCAAATTATTTACCATACACAATATGAGACCAGCTTTAGGACTATAACTTATTTCCTTAAAAAAAACACATGTCTTTTAATAAGACATAATTATAAGCTCTGTGTTGTAACTTAGAGAAAATTATGTGATATTCAGGGCAATAACAGAGCCATAACTCTGTGTTAAATAGTAATATCTGGAAATGCCAATGAGATGTATGCATACTGCATAACTAATCAAGGGCCATAAATCTGAGTTATAAGTGTCTGACCGGAACAAGGCAACTATATGCACATCTCCTCTTCGTATCCCATAAAGTTTCATTGAATTCCAGCCAGTAGTTACAGAGAAGTAGCATGGAAACTATTATTGCTCTGGTTGTATACTGCATAAGTTATCAAGGGCCATAACTCCAAGATAAAATGTCTGACCCATACAAGGCGACGAATTATGCCCATCTCCTCTTGGTATTGAAGGTTCCAATAAAGTTGCAGAGAAGTAGCGCAGAAACGAATATTTTTCTATATGCATTCTGCATAACTAATCAAGGGCCATAACTCTGAGTTAAAATGTCTGATCCCAACAAGGCAATGATATGCACATCTTCTCTTGGTATTGAAGGTTCCCATAAAGTTTTGTTGAATTCCAGCCAGTAGTTGCAGAGAATTTGCACGAAAACGATTTTTGCTCTATATGCATACTGCATAACTAATCAAGAGCCATAACTCTGAGTTAAAGTGTTAGACCGGAACAAGCCGACGTTATGCGCATCCCCTCTTGGTATTGAAGGTTCCCATAAAGTTTTGTTGAATTCCAGCCAGTAGTTGCAGAGAAGTAGTGCGGAAACGATTTTTACTCTATATGCATACTGCATAACTAATCAAGGGCCATAACTATCAGTTAAAGTGTCGCACCGGAACAAGCCGACGATATGCGCATCTCCTCTTGATATTGATGATTCCCATAAAGTTTCGTTGAATTCCAGCCAGTAGTTGCAGAGAACTTGTCCGGAAACGAAATTCGGATGGACGGACGGACGTTCCAACATTTTGGCTTTAGGGGCTATTTTCTTTGTTATTTTCTTTGTTTTCTTAAGGGCTACTAGCCCCTAAACCCTTTGATCACGGAATGAACCTATTGTTCTCTTTTGTTCTCTTTACTGTTATATAGCACCTAAACCCAAAATGTTTGCTCGGACGGACAACGCCAAAACTATATCCCCCTCCCAATTCTATTGACGGGGTATAACAAATCAGTTATTTCATATTTGATTACTTTCCAACCAACTAAATGGATTTTATTTATAAACCGTGGTAAAATGTAAGTTCTAACATGAGAAATAGCCTAATAGGGACAAAATTTAGGAGCAAATTTAATTCATTGTAAAACACACAGAGTAATCAAAATACAAATTAATTAATTTGATAAAATTGCTTCATGTTCATTGCTACAATAAAAACCTGTATATTTATACCAATATCGAAAGTCTTTTCTAAAAAAAATGTCCGTGCAGATATATAATAAATCAGTTTATAGTTAGTCAAACTAATTTAAAAATGTCTTTACTGCATAGTCATGTTACAGCTGATTCATTTAACGATGCTATATAATCTATTCTCAGCAATACATAAATTTTCATGTTAGACTAATGAATGTCACATCAAACTCACTATTATCACAGGAGATTCTGTGATCAAGAATGAAGAATCATGGGATTTTTTACAATCAAGAATGAGTTCTTGGTCAATGTTATGAAACCTACAATCAAGAATGAGTTCTTGGTCAATGTTATGAAACCTATTGTTAGAGACCTCCACCTCAAAATGTAGTCACCACTAAATGGGTACATCTCTACCACACGCAAATATGATTTAGTAGTATGTAACTCAGGAAATTACATAGGTAATTGTATGTTAAATAAATTTTAATAAAAACACACAACAAAACAAAGTAGTGATCCTGTGTTGGTGTGTCCTGCAATTTTGTCTATGTTCAATATCTTGATTATTTAAATTTACATTTTGGTAGGAAACGTCATGTGACACATACCGGGCTCTCTGTAGAGCTCAAATTTTCAATTTTGTCAACATGTACAGACAAATATTTTTGATGTCAAATTCCTGTCTTGACCTCAATCACAAGACATCCTGTATTGTGCCATGTATATGTTTCAATACTGCGGTCATCTGGGATATAAGTATGAAATCTATGGCAGCCACAACCTAAGCCATTACATTCATTATGCTTTGTCTGTTGAAAGGACATAATGACACATCACAGCTGGCATATCATTACTATTTTGTTTGCTAGCAATCCCATGAATTATATTATAATTCATGGGATTTGGGATTGCTAGCAAACAAAATAGTAATGATATGCCAGCTGTGCTGTGTCTACCAACATCTTGTTTATGTCATTCTTCATCATTGTTGGTCATTTGATCAATGATTATTATCTGATGCATTTATAACTGGACATAATAATTGTTTTTGTCAGTGCCAGGTATCTACAGACAAATATAGAGAAAAGGAGCCAACTTCACAAGTCATAATTAAATGGTGTGCAACTGTGAAAAGACACTTAAGATCAGCAGTCAAACCTTAATATAGCAGTATGCAAAATTGTGAGAAAAGAGCCCGGTTTGAGCCGGGTGATGCTCCCCGAATAGGTTTTGGACACAGGAAAGTACACCCTTTGTAGTCGTGGAAAAAGTTCAAAGTGCAAAAATCCAAAATTAGGCAAGGAAGAGTTACTGTTCTTTGCACTGCACTTCTAATCAAAGTTTCATGTTGATATCTCTTATAGTTTTACAGCTATGTCCTGGACAAGATTTTTCTATCAGGGGAGATAATTCAAAAATGAGGCTTAACAGAGTTATGGTTCTTTTGCACTGCACTTCTACTCAATGAGATCTATCTACCTACAATGTTTCATTTTGATATCTCTTATAGTTTTAGAGTTATGTTCTGGACAAAGTTTAAAGTGTTAAAATTAACAAAGGGCAATAACTCCAAAATTAGGACAAAAAGAGTTATTGTTCTTTTGCACTGCACTTCTACTCAATGAGATCTATCTACCTACAATGTTTCATTTTAATATCTCTTATAGTTTTAGAGTTATGTTCTGGACAAAGTTCAAAGTGTTAAAATTAACAAAGGGCAATAACTCCAAAATTAGGACAAAAAGAGTTATTGTTCTTATGCACTGCACATCTACCCATTGAGATCTATTCACCTACAAAGTTTCATGTTCTCTTATAGTTTAAGAGTTATGTCCCGGACAAGATTTTTCTATCAGGGGAGATAATTCAAAAATGAAGCTTAACAGAGTTATGGTTCTTTTGCACTGCACTTCTACTCAATGAGATCTATCTACCAACAATGTTTCATCTAGATATCTCTTATAGTTTTAGAGTTATGTTCCGGACAAAGTTCAAAGTGTTAAATTTAATAAAGGGCAATAACTCCAAAATTGGGACATAAAGAGTTATTGTTCTTATGCACTGCACATCTACTCATTGAGATCTATTCACCTACAAAGTTTCATGTTGATATCTCTTATAGTTTTAGAGTTATGTCCCGGACAAGATTTTTCTATCAGGGGAGATAATTAAAAAAACGGGCAAAATAGAGTTATGGTTCTTTGACACTGCACTCCCCCTCAATGCCCTCTACCACTGTATGAAGTTTAAACAAATTATCTCCAAGGGTTTTCAAGTTATACTCTGGACAAGATAACAGACGGACGGACGGACAGACGGACAAGGCGCCGACTATATGCTCCCCCGAAATTTTTCAGGGAGCATAAAAAAACCCCCCAAAAACAAATATGATCAAACAAAAGCCACGATAATGAAATCACTGAAGGGACTTTGAAAATCTGGTCTTAATAGCAGGTTGGTCTCATAAATTGCTGATTACAACTTCCAAAACTTTATCACAACTATCTATGCTTGTTAAAAATATTTTGTCATTCTAACCAAACAATTATGAAATTGAAGGTGTGAAATTAAGAATTATATTAGCAAATATCAATAATTTTAGTGTTTGATACAAACTAAACAAGATATGTTTGTAAAACATGTATGCCCCCTATCAGCAGCCAATTAGTCATGTGATAAGGTTATTATGACTTCTGACCCAGTGATCAAACAATTAATAAGGGTTATCAAGTATCTACTGGTCATGACCTTAACCTTTGACCCCTTGACCCAAAACTCAATAGGGGTCATCTGCTGGTCACGACCAATCATCATACAAAGTTTGAAGTTCCTAGGCCTCAGCGTTTTTAGTTAATTGATCGGAAACCGTTTTAACATACAAGGTCAATGTGACCTTGACCTTTGACCCCTTGACCCCTAAATCAATAGGTCATCTGCTGGTCATGACCAATCACCATACCATGTTTGAAGTTCCTAGGCCAAAGGGTTCTTAAGTTATTGATTTGAAAGCATTTTTACCTACAAGGTCAAAGTGACCTTGCCCTTTGATCCCTTAACCCCAATATCAATAGGGGTCATCTACTGGTCATGACCAATAATCATACCAAGTTTGAAGTTCCTAGGCCTAAGGGTTCTTTAGTTATTGATCGGAAACCGTTTTTACCTAAGAGGTCAATGTGACCTTGACCTTTGACCCCTTGACCCCAAAATCAATAGGGGTCATCTACTGATCATGACCAATCACCATATCAAGTTTGAAGTCCCTAGGCCTAAGGGTTCTTTCATTATTGATCGGAAATGGTTTTTACCTACAAAGTCAATTTGACCTGGACCTTTGACCCCTTAACCCTAAAATCAATAGGGGTCATCTGCTGGTCATGACCAATCACCATACCAAGTTTGAAGTTCCTAGGCCTAAGGGTTCTTTCGTTATTGATCGGAAACCGTATTTACCTACAAGGTCAATGTGACCTTGACCTTTGACCCCTTAACCCCAAAATCAATAGGGGTCATCTGCTGGTCATGACCAATCACCATACCAAGTTTGAAGTTCCTAGGCCTAAGGGTTCTTTTGTTATTGATCGGAAACCAATTTTACCCAAGAGGTCAATGTGACCTTGACCTTTGACCCCTTGACCCTAAAATCAATAGGGGTCATCTACTGATCATGACCAATCACCATACCAAGTTTGAAGTTCCTAGGCCTTAAAGTTCTTTAGTTATTGATCGGAAACTATTTTTGCTAACAAGGTCAATGTGACCTTGACCTTTGACCCCTTGACCCCAAAATCAATAGGGGTCATCTACTGATCATGACCAATCACCATACCAAGTTTGAAGTTCCTAGGCCTTAAAGTTCTTTAGTTATTGATCGGAAACCGTTTTTGCTAAAAAGGTCAATGTGACCTTGACCTTTGACCCCTTGACCCCAAAATCAATAGGGATCATCTACTGATCATGACCAATCACCATATCAAGTTTGAAGTTCCTAGGCCTTAAGGTTCTTTAGTTATTGATCGGAAACCGTTTTTACCTAAGAGGTCAATGTGACCTTGACCTTTGACCCCTTGACCCCAAAATCAATAGGGATCATCTACTGATCATGACCAATCACCATATCAAGTTTGAAGTCCCTAGGCCTAAGGGTTCTTTCATTATTGATCGGAAACCGTTTTTACCTACAAGGTCAATGTGACCTTGACCTTTGACCCCTTAACCCCAAAATCAATAGGGGTCATCTGCTGGTCATGACCAGTCACCATACCAAGTTTGAAGTTCTTAGGCCTAAGGGTTCTTTCGTTATTGATCGGAAACCGTTTTTACCTACAAGGTCAATGTGACCTTGACCTTTGATCCCTTAACCCCAAAATCAATAGGGGTCATCTGCTGGTCATGACTAATCACCATACCAAGTTTGAAGTTCCTAGGCCTAAGGGTTCTATTGTTATTGATCAGAAACCGTTTTTACCAAAGAGGTCAATGTGACCTTGACCTTTGACCCCTTGACCCCAAAATCAATAGGGGTCATCTACTGATCATGACCAATCACCATACCAAGTTTGAAGTTCCTAGGCCTTAAAGTTATTTAGTTATTGATCGGAAACCGTTTTTGCTTACAAGGTCAATGTGACCTTGACCTTTGACCCCTTGACCCCAAAATCAATAGGGATCATCTTCTGATCATGACCAATCACCATACCAAGTTTGAAGTTCCTAGGCCTTAAGGTTCTTTAGTTATTGATCGGAAACCATTTTTGCTTACAAGGTCAATGTGACCTTGACCTTTGACCCCTTGACCCCAAAATCAATAGGGGTCATCTACTGGTCATGACCAATCACCATACCAAGTTTGAAGTTCCTAGGCCTAAGGGTTCTTTAGTTATCACTCGGAAACCATTTGGTCTACGGACCGACGGACCGACGGACCGACAAGTGCAAAGCAATATACCCCCTTTTCTTCGAAATGGGGGCATAATAAAGTGGATGTTGTATAATGTCTTAAAACTAGGAGAGCTGTTGTATACATCAAGTCAATATGACAAAATGTGCATGACTTACAGAACAGGACTGAATCTACAGATTATGTTACAGAATAATAAGGTGCTATGTGTCATAATATAGCCGTTCAGGCAACAATTGAAATATTGTTCTTATTGGTGGGTTGTTCTTGAACATACCAACTGTAAGGACAGCATTTTTTCTTAAAGCCTATCCCAATAACTTAAGTCATGAAATTAGGTAATTCAGGGGAACAATACATTTTTTTTTTGCAAATAATTATTGAAATTTGTAAAAAAAATTTAGTAATGAAACACTAATTGGGAAAAATTCAATAATCATTGTAATTTTGTGATTCTATTTTTTAATAATTGTTGTCATTTTTGGAAAATTAACATACAAAGATTTCCAGCCAACAGAAAAGGGTATATGGCCTTAAAACCCTGCGGGGATTTGGACCAAAAGAGGCGTATTAAGCACATGTAAGCCATCTTTGAAATATTGCATAAAACCATAATTGTTTTAAACAAATTAAGCATTTCTACAAATTTATATAACATTTCAATGTTTTAAACTATAATAAACAACAAGTGAAACACATTTCAGATATGTGGTATATCTGAAAACACAATATATGTATCATTTTGAAATTGATGTTGTTTTCTTTCAGCATTGCAATAGTTATTAAAGTCAGTAGTTAATTGTTTTAATGATATATCATACACACAAATTCAAGGGAATAATGCAAAACATAAGTAAACTAGAACTGCCACTGTCATGGCGTGAATACCCCTGCATACCACTTTGTCAGACTCAACAGTGGTCACTTAGAGCTCAAGGACAACCTCCCAGCCAAATCTGAGGGAAGTAAGCCAGCGTATTGTTAAGTTATGTATTCTACATGTTTTAGTGGCAAAGATCAAAGTGACCTTTACCTTTGACCTACTGACCTAAAACTGCCACTGAATGACTTCAATACCCCCCCCCCCCCAATTCATGCAGCTTTGCCTGGAGGTGTTTTATGATGAATATATGACAACATAATTATAGCCTTCAAATGTAAAAATGAAAAACTCAATACACTGTGGACAGGCATTCTTAAGCATTTCAGCAGAAAAGCTTATTGTAATAAAAGCCCCTGGGACCTTGACCTTTGACACAGTCACCTTAAAATCAAAATGGGTCATCTAATAGTCATAACCAACCTCAATACTAAATATGAAGACTGTTGACTAAAGCATTTTTATGCAATTGAGCAGAAAAGCTTTTTGAACTAGAGGCCCCTGTGACCTTGACCTTTGACCCAGTGACCTCAAAATCAATAGGGGTCATCTACTAATCATGACTAACCTCCATGCCAAATATTAAGACTGTTGGTCAATGGATTCTTAGGTAATTGGATGGACAAGCCTTTATTAGTCAAGGCCCCTTTGACCTTTACCTTTGACCTTAAAATAAATAAGGGTCATCTACTAATCATGACTAACCTCCATGCCAAATATGTAGACTGTAGGTCAAAGGATTCTTAAGTTATTGGGCGGACAATATCTTTTCTGTCAATGCCCCTGTGACCTGGTGACCTCAAAATCAATACAGGTCATCTATTTATCATGACTAACCTCCATGCCAAATATGAAGACTGTGGGTCAAGAAATTCTTAAGTTATTGGGCGGACAAGCATTTTGAAGTCAAGGCCCCTGTGACCTTGACCTTTGACCTCAAAATCAAAAAGCGGTCATCTACTAATCATGACTAACCTCCATGCCAAATATGAAGACTGTGGGTCAAAGGAATCTTAAGTTATTTGGCAGACAAGCTTTTTGAAGTCAAGGCCCCTGTGACCTTGACCTGGTGACCTCAAAATCAATAGGGGTCATCTACTAATCATGGCTAAGCTCCATGCCAAATATGAAGACTGTGGGTCAAAGGAATTTGAAGTTATTGGGCGGACAAGCTTTTTGAAGTTTGTGACCTTGACCTTTGATGTGGTGACCTCAAAATCAATAGAAGTCATCTACTAATCATGACTAACCTGCATGCCATATATGAAGACTGTGGGTCAAGGGAATCTTAAGTTATTGGGCGGACAAGAATAAACCGTTGTTTTTTTACTTAAAAAAAAACCTTGCCAATTTTTGGCGACCAAAGGAAACAGCTAATAAGTGATTCATTGAGTATTTATGAATATTTGTGAACTTGCCTGACCATTTTATCCTATTTCAATCAACTTTAATGACAAAACACCCACACCAAACTCAAGATGGGGTTACAAAGCCCCTGGGTATATCATGCATTAAATTTCGTTAAGTGCCTGTCTTCCGGTACTGACATTGACTGACATGTACATGTATATTGAGCGAGAGCCTGTGTCATGTTTCCATATTTTAATTGACATTTAAAGTATGTCATCAGGAAAATTAACAATGTAATTACACTCAAAGCTTGGCTAGAACCCTGCTGTTTCTATGGTTACATCATTTCAGGTGATTTATAGCTTTAAATACATGTACACTTATAAATCTACATGTATTGTATGTTAACCATTTGTTTGGTGAAATTGACATTGGATTTTTGAAATTCAGTGGAAATCAATGACATGGCAGAAGAAAGGGAGATAAGGGAGAAAATGGCCTGATGGGATATGACATGTAAGACTTTTGAAATTGTATAGATAGAAAAGTAGCAGAAACTACTGCAAGTATTTCATTCATTATTTACCTGACTCTTATCAAGTCCATTTGTGACAGGTTGTTTGGTTTGGACTACATCTGTGTTCTTTTTCATACCATTGCTTCCAATCTAGAAAATAAAACAACAAAACATTATACAAATTGTGCAAAGTTAAATGATCAATGGCAATACTGAAACAAGAGGGCCATGATGGCCCTGAGGTCGCTCACCTGTATATAGCCCCCCCCCCCCCCCCCGGTCAATTTTTTATTTGAACAGACTTGGTAGACACCCATAAGAAGATGTTTTATGCTAAACATCCAAGTTCTAGCTCATTGGGTTTTTTAAAAGAAGATTTTTAAGTTTTTACTATACACATATAGTTAAAAACAATGACACCCCTGGGGCAGGGCCAGTTTTGACCCCCGGGCTTTTATTTGAACAAACTTTGTAGATATTTACTTAAAGATGTTTCATGTATAATATCTAAACTCAAGCTATTTGGGTTTTTTCAAAGAAGATTTTTAAGTTTTTGCTATACACATATAAGGAAAATCAATGACCCCCCGGGGCAGGGCCAGTTTTGACCCCAGGGCTTTTATTTGAACATACTTGGTAGACACCCATTAGAACATGTTTCATGCTAAATATCTTAGCTCTAGCTCTTTGAGTTCTTTAAAAGAAGATTTTTTAATTTTTTACTATATGCATATAGGGAAAATCAATGACCCCCTGGGGCGGGGCCAATTTTGACCCCAGGGCTTTTATTTGAACAAACTTGGTAGACACTCATTAGAAGATGTTTCATGCTAAATATCTTAGCTCTAGCTCTTTGGGTTCTTTAAAAGAAGATTTTTTAAGTTTTTACTATATGCATATAGGGAAAATCAATGACCCCTGGGGCGGGACCAATTTTGACCCCAGGGCTTTTATTTGAACAAACTTGGTAGACATTCACTAGAAGATGTTTCATGCCAAATATCTAAGCTCTAGCTTTTACAGTTCTTTAAAAGAAGATTTTTTAAGTTTTTACTATATGCATATAGGGAAAATCAATGACCCCCCGGGCCGGGGCCAATTTTGACCCCAGGGCTTTTATTTGAACAAACTTGGTAGACACTCACTAGAAGATGTTTTATGCCAAATATCTTAGCTCTAGCTCTTTGGGTTCTTTAAAAGAAGATTTTTAAGTTTTTACTATATGCATATAGGGAAAATCAATGACCCCCTGGGGCGGGGCCAATTTTGACCCTAGGGCTTTTATTTGAACAAAACTTGGTAGACACTCATTAGAAGATGTTTCATGCCAAATATCTAAGCTCTAGCTCTTTACGGTTCTTTAAAAGAAGATATTTAAAGATTTTTCTTTCGGTTGCCATGGCAACCAGAGTTCTGCATGAAATGGAATTCTTTGAACAATCTTGATAGAGCTTCATACAAAGAGTATTCCTGCCAAGTTTCATTAACATTGGCCTTGCGGTATCATAGAAGATGTCCTTAGAATATTTAAAATGTGGACGGACGACAGACGACGGACGCCATTTGGTTGGCCATCCTAAAAGCTCACCTGCACTTTGTGCAAGGTGAGCTAATAAACAGACTGACATCATCTGAAACATGTAACACTTACTTCGTTCTCCAAAGTTAAAGAACAAAATGGCTGACAAGATCTTTAGGGGTGTCCTGGCCAAAATTGTACAATTATTTATCAAACTCTCTCATGATTCCCAGATTAAGGCCACACTTAAACTGAGTTCCAGAATGGCTATCCCCAATGCCTCGATTGGTGGTTAAAAAAAAACTGGGTATAAAATATGTAGTCTAAAATATTTTATATGGCCATGGCCATTTAGAGGTGGTTAATATATAATGATGGTGTTTTACATACTGTAACATGCTGTTATATCCATATATTAATCAAATATGCATAAAATACAAAATCTTATCTATCTTGAGGGTCAATGTCATTTATAGGCCAAGATCATATTTGAATAACTTTATATTTATGCTTTAATTTCTTAAAAAAATGATTTAATGCAAAGTATTGTTTTCTCCATGTTTTAATTAAATCTGCCCATAAATAACAAAGTTCATTTTAATTCAATTTTAGCAACCATAGTATCATGGTGATATAGTGGTCAATGTCAATTTCAGCCTCAACTACTAAATGTTTTGTATTAATTTGTTTATTTTTTGTATTCAATCATTCTTTTTTTTATTCTGACGTAGACATAATTATAAGATACCTTGAAATACTCTAGCACTAATGATTATCAAACTTATTTTCCTTTGATTTTCTGCAATAATAAGGGAGGGTTATATAAGGGCATACATTATTAATGAGAAATTATGGTACAATGTGTTTTTGTCAAGAAGCCTCATGCATCTTAATGTCTAAAATATCATGAACATACAATACAGAATGTAAAAAAAAAAATCAATATAGTTATATCACGAAGATTACAAACCAAATTTTCCCTATCTGATAATTATATCATTATATATAATCATGAAGAAAACCAGAATGCAGAGAAGACATTGACAGAAGTGTGAATAAAATAGAGAACATATCTTTGCAATAATAACTCACACAAGGTGGAACAACTGTTTAAATACAAGCTTAACAAAAACTGTGATTTATCATTATATGAATTTTTCAGGGTATAAATAACGAAAATGAGAAAATAATTTGACACTGCAGATTCAGTTACAGAACCACTTGCAAAATGAAAACTCATTAATGTAAACAAATGCAACATCCGTCGCTGCTAGACTTCTCTTCTGACAATTATTTATATAATAACAAATTAAGATGTATCCTTAAGATTAGATTATAACTTGCTTTTTCTTGAAAAAATTATTCTTGATTTTATACGATATTATAATGACAGTTATTACTTGAGCAAATTCAAAGTTGTAATTACATAAAGTTATGCAGGACTCCAAATAGGTTTAGTCCAACAAACTGTTGTACTCTGTTTGCTTGGTTTGTATCAGCGCGCCAACACAATTTAGTCATATGGCGCCAAAACAGTAAAGATGATTTTGGCTAACCTTGGGTGTTACAAACTTAAACCAACACCAGATAATCTGCTGGAGCTAAAAGATGCATAGACTCCAGCAGTCGCCTCTTTTGATCATGCCGTCATAAACTGTGGCTGCAATTCTGATGCCTCATCCATCAAAGGCAACCCCTCAGCCACAAGGGGAAACTATTCTATAAAATGATGTTGTGCTATCTTATTTTTGGGCAATATCTCTCCTCTATAAAAAATTTAGAAGTGATTTTTAGACCAAAAACAATAAGTATCCAGAATCTAGCTTTGGATAATAAAATATTTTGACTATCAGAAGGTACTGAATCTCACAAGACAATTACTCTTTTACCAAAGTTTTCAGGAGTCAAATCAAATTTTTCTTGGATGCATGGATCTCAATGATCAACATTTTTTTTGTTTTTTTATTTAACTTTTAAATTGGTGGTCTCATTTAACATTTAAAAGTGATAGATTATATAATTGTAGAGAATGATATTTATTAAAAATATAATTAATTGGGTTTTTTTAGTCCATATTGACATATCAAAAATAAGGTCATACAATACCACTATCAAATCTATTAGCAAAGATAGAAGACCCTACCACATACAAAACATACACTGATTCTCATAAGTTTATTTGTACTTTAAATTTTCACTTCAATTCACTTTAACCCTCTTGTATATCGTTTTAAAGTTGTTGTTTATTTTTGCAACTTCCCAGCATTACAAGTGACAGGGAGACCTCATGTGCACTCCAGCCTCCGGGCAGAACTGCCAATGTTCAGAAAGCAAGCTGGATAGCTTCATCACAGGGAAAAACCTAAAGTCCCCCACAGAGATAAAGGGTAATGAGCCTGAAGTCAATGACCTTCACCACTATTTCAACATATGGAATAATGAATGTTTTGTATAAAAATAACCATATAAATACCTTTAAAATAGGAGAAGTATACTTGGGTATGATCACACCATGCTTGTATAACCAAAAATGTCTCCTCTCTCTTTGTGACATTGTAACAAAAATTCACACAGCAATAAAATATAAAACTATATTATTTCCTTGATAACATTAATATCATTTATTGCCTTTCATTAAAACATGCTGCCAGTGTCAGTGAGTATCACAGAGTAATGGCTGGAGTATGAAACATGATTATTGGACTGTTCATGATGATCGGAAACAACTAGTATATAAACTAGCTTCCTCAATATTATTAAATATGTCCAGGTATGACATTATATTGACATTCAAATGCGAAGGAAATTAACTTTTTTTATTTTAATGTATAAAAATACATTTTAGAATGCTGTATTGAAGTGTATTTTAGTTTTATAACTCTAGTTATCTTCCAGAAACAATTTTTCTATTTTTAGTTGCAGTGACCTTGACCTGAAAATCTAGGGAGTCCAACAACAATCCAAAGCAAGGTCTCTTCATAAGCTTGCTATACACCAAGTTTTATTACAATATCACATTCCTAACTCAAGTTATCGCCCGGAAACCATTTTAAGTAACAGTGACCTTGACCTCAAGGGGTCCAAAAGCAATCCCAGTCTGGGTCTTCAGATAAGGTTGCTATATTCTAAGTTTGATTACAATACCTCATTTCTAACTCTATATCTAGTTTTTATCTAATTTTTATCCAGACACCATTTTGCTATTTTTATTGACAGTGACCTTGACCCCTTGGGGTACAAAAGCAATCAAAACCTGGGTCTTCATATAAATTAGATATATACCTAGTTTGGTTAAAATATCTCATTCCTAACTCTAGTTATTGTCCGGAAACCATTCTTCTATATTTAGTAATAGTGACCTTGACCCCAGGGGTCTAAAAGCAATCCAAACCTTGGTTTTGACCAACGGTTGCTATATACCAAGTTGAATACAATAACTCATTCCAAACTCTAGTTATCATCTGGAAACAAGAAGGGATGTACAGACAAGCTGACTCGGTCCTATATACCCTCTAAACTTCGTGCGGGTGAAATAAAGTTTCACAATTTGGGGGTATAATTGGGGGTATAATAAAGTTTCACAGTTTATTTATGTTGGTCATTAACTTATTATAGTGTATATAAATAAAAGCTCATTTGATACCAATATATACCCGAATCACAATGATATGTATGTAATAAGATAATTACAAAAGACATTGACCTGATAAAGGATGCTAATGTTGAAAAGAAACATCATCCATTTAATCTTCTACAAGATAACTCAATCATGACTGCCCCTGTACATCAGAAAAACAAACAAAACAACACTTCCTTAGTTACATGTCTTTTTAGGTCATTTTACCATAACCACATTCCTGTGTAACATTTAGGAACTGTAAAATATTACAAACATTCAACAAGGTCAAACTCTCCACTGATGCTGAAAGAATATTATTCAGTTTAATACTGATCATCCTCAAACTAGAGACAGCTACAAAATACACTTTTACCTTTAAGTTTTAAAAGCAACTTATGAGCTAACTTTCACACCAACTATACTTTAATGTCTGCCAATTAAATCTAGGAGCTTTATTATAAATCACATGAAGTAAATGACAAATTGATCATGTATTAACAATCTAGATGTAATCTATTTTTTATCAATTAATAATGTCTCCTGTATCAGGAAAATAGAGCTATTGATTCAAGAGCATGCCTTCCCTATGGATATTACTGGAAGATGCATTAACTGACAACACACTGGAGATAATGTGTCAAAGATCAAAACCGCCGGGCGGGGGCAACGCTCAACTTTTTACTTTTTCTAAACGCAAACATAGAAAGGTTTGAACATATATTGATGTTTCCTTTTTACAAATTTACTTGGTCTGTCTTGTCACATTAGTTTTGTTTATATATTTTGTATATATATGAATAGAAACATTAAGCATATTTCTAAAAATAGCAACAGTTCGCAATTTCTAAAAATAGCAACAATGACGCAATTTCTAAAAATAGCAACAATGACACAATTTCTAAAAATAGAAAAAATGACGCAATTTCTAAAAATAGAAAAAAATGATGCAATTTCTAAAAATAGAAACAATGACGCAATTTCTAAAAATAGAAGAAAAAAATGACGCAATTTCTAAAAATAGAAACAATGACGCAATTTCTAAAAATAGAAAAAAAATGACTCAATTACTAAAAATAGCAACAATGACGCAATTTCTATAAATAGAAAAAGATGACGCAATTTCTAAAAATAGAAGAAAAAAATGACGCAATTACTAAAAATAGCAACAATGACGCAATTTCTAAAAATAGAAAAAATGACGCAATTTCTAAAAATAGAACAAAAATGACGCAATTTCTAAAAATAGCAACAATGACACAATTTCTAAAAATAGAAAAAATGACGCAATTTCTAAAAATAGGAAAAAATGACGCTAATTCTAAAAATAGCAACAATGACGCAATTTCTAACAATAGAAAAACATGACGCAATTTCTAAAAATAGAAAAAATGACGCAATTTCTAAAAATAGAAAAACATGACGCAATTTCTAAAAATAGAAAAACATGACGCAATTTCTAAAAATAGAAAAAAAATGACGCAATTTCCAAAAATAGAAAAACATGACGCAATTTCTAAAAATAGAAACAATGACGCAATTTCTTAAAATAGAAACAATGACGCAATTTCTAAAAATAGAACAAAAATGACGAAATTTCTAAAAATAGAAAAAAAATGATGCAATTTCTAAAAATAGCAACAATGACGCAATTTCTAAAAATAGAAAAAAATGACGCAAATTCTAAAAATAGCAACAATGACGCAATTTCTAAAAATAGAAAAAATGACGCAGTTTCTAAAAATAGAAAAACATGACGCAATCATATACATGTATATATATGTATATATATATATATATTTGATATATATATATATATTTGATATATATATATATATCTATATATGTATATATATATATACATGCATATATATATATATATATATATATATATTTATATATATATATATATATATATATATATACCTGCATATATGTATATATATATACACACACACATTTATATATATATATTTATATATAATACATATACTATACATACACACACACCAATAAATGCACAATCTGAGAAAATTCAGTAATATAACCTTCAAGGTCAAGGTCATTAAAGAGCCCAAGCAAATTTGGGTTTGATAAACAACAAGGTCTGGTCCTTAAGAATGTTCTGTTATAATATGAAGTTTATCCCTTCAAAAATAGCAAAGTTACAGTCAGTTACTGCCAAAACAATGAAAATTTCAATAATTTGACCTTCAAAGGCAATGTCCATTAATGAGTGAAGGTCAAGGTCTTTTGGTATATTTTTTAACAGTTATCTTTGAAGATTATTATGTTCAAGTTTGAAGACAATCCATTCAAAAATAACAAAGTTACAGCCAATAATAGCCAAAAAAATGGAAATTTCAATAATTTGACCTTCAAAGTCAAGGTCTTTGATGAGTGAATGTCAAGGTCTGACTGGTTATTTTTAAGGGATATCCTTGAAGATTATTATGTTCAAGTTTGAAGACAATCCATTCAAAAATAACAAAGTAAAGCCAATAACAGCATGAACAAGCAAAAATTGGACTTTTAACCTTGAAGGTCAAGGTCATTTATGGATGAAGGTCAAGGTTAGTGTGGTCTACTGAAAGGTCTTGTCCCAAGGGTTGTTGTGGCCAAGTATGAAGACAATACACCAAGAAATAAAAAAGTTATGATCCAGGTACAAGTTTTCGGACGGCAACGGCAACGGCAACGGAGACGGCAACGGCAACGCCGACCTGACTATAACAATACCTCTACTTTTTTTTTTCAAAAAAAAAAAAGTCGAGCTAAAAATGTCAGTTTATTTAAATTTGTAGGCATGTAACACAGCATGTTAAAACAAATTTGGAAGAAAAAGACCTAAACCTCTAATCATGGCTGTCTCCCAAATGGTTACCCAACAGTTATATAAACCATCTCAGTATTTGACTTTTGCAATGAGGGATGTAAAACAGGTATGTGAACAGTATGTGAACTTATGAACCAGGTAGTATTTAACAATTCACCAGCTGTTATTTATCATTGCAAGCATTATTTTTATGTTGAAACATAAAAGATATATATCCGTTAGTGTTAACAGTATAGCTGACATATGAAAGCTATAAAACAACTGTATCAACAGGATATGTGAACAAATTTTCAGTGAACCAGTAACTATCAATATGTACATCCTGACAGATCAATTTCACAAATAGAAATACTAACTTCCTCTATTGCTTTTACATCTGTAGAATTACTTATAATATTAATATTACTATCTTCTCAAATGGAATAGGATCCTAGCTGTGTTTTTGTTTACATTGTATTAAGTTTTTAACTAAGACAATTACACAATATCGTAAAGCTGAGATGTCTTACAAATAGAGAATACATTCATATGGCAGAACTCTTGAAAAGGATAGACAACATATATGCAAAATGTTCTACTGCTTTTTTTCTTTATCTAAAAAAGAGGATAAAATAGCTTCCCTCTCAAGTAGATAAAGCTATGTTGGAATTCATGTTATAAATTTCTTAATTAGGACTATAATCAAAGGAACATATTTTTATTAGCTACCTGTAGAAGGCAGTATCAATTTATCTATTATGTTGATAACTTTCAGGGTTTTTTTTGCAATCATTACAACCAAGGTCAAGAAAATGAAAGTTGAGACATCCTTCATTTTGAAATTTTCAATTTTACAACTAAAAGGATATAATTTCATGTGTCTGGTGTATAGAACTTAACACTGATGTATCATTTGTCTCGAAGTTTTATTCAAGAATGAATAGTAAAATCGAACAAAAACGTATATGCCTAATGGCAAAATATAAATGCAATATATTCTAATTGTGTCAACTTTACATACTTTAAATTAATAGTTGTTATCCGGAACTCTGCAAATGTGGATTTTTGCAAGCCCTTGGTAAAGTCAAAAATTATACAGTTATAACTTCATGGTGCACTTCCATTCAAAAAAATTAGTCAGCTTGTTGCCCTTTTGAAAGTTTGTAACGGAAAACCTAAAATATTCTTAATTCCAAAGTAAGTCTATTAACTGCCAATGAAAGACCAAAATTTACTTAGCTATTCCCTTCAAAAAATTACTTTACGGCTCTTGTGTTTAAAAAAAAAATCCCTGATAAATTGTATATTTTATATTCCAAGATAATTAATGACTTGAGGTGAGACATGATTATGTAAAATAAATTTTCCCTGCCAATAAACAGACACTATCATTGATAAAACTTCAGCCAAAAATTTATAAATGCTTAAATGGTGAAAGATTAATCTTACTGTAGGTTGGGAAGCCAGTGTTGCTTTGGCAACAGACAAATCACAATATTTTTTGTTCAACTAACTCACCAAATTATTTAATGCAATATCTTTTAAGTTTTCAAATATATGCAATATTTTTTCTAAAATACAGCATTGTCAAAATGATTTCAGCAATCCTGTTAACAAAGTTCATCTTTATGTTGCTTCAAATCATTTGTATTTGAATTTTTTTTTATCAATGAAAAAATTAAAGTAATTTTCTTAAATATTCAATTGATTCTTAATTCAAGAGCAATCATGACTTACTTCACAATGACCTTATTTATTTGACCTTAATACTTATTCAAACATCTTTACATATACTTCATACATATACTATACAATAACTTGGTATGTTTTGGACCAGGCACTGCAACTGCCACTAATTTTTTCCCCTATTGTATTAAATTCAATTAACATAAAAACTATCTAAAGTTGTTTTGTTTTAATAAAGATAATTATATCAATAATAAAGATATATGTCAAACCTGTACTATCATAGAAAGAAGGAATCACATGAAGAGAGTATACCAGTTTATTTTTCAAGTTCACAGTCCCTGCAGTGAAAGCACACTTGTAACAATCAAGAGTAGCAATATAACAGTTGATTTATAGTCCAAATTACCCATGCTTAGAATCTATGTGCTTATTATAATGAGAGCAATAAAAACTACTGAAGAATTCCCATACCACTGATAATGCTGTATCAACTTTTTCAGGTCATAGTTCAATATCTTCATAAATTTATAACGGAGAATTTAAGTTTTAATTCCGTACTCTGGATAGTTGCTTCATATCAACTTACTGTTGAATAGTAGCTAAGATATGTTTGGGGTTTGTTTACAAGCAATGACACAACCCTAATGTCAAGGTCCTAAAGCAACTTTTCAGCTTAATTACCTATTTTATCCTTGCTTTGCATTATATCAGCCTAGGTAGAATAAATTACTACAAAGCTTCATGAAGTGAAGGCATTCCATGTGAAAAGCAAAGGTTTTAGGAATATACACAAAATTGCCTTAAATGCAGGTCAAAAAAACTTCATTTATCTTTTAGGCAATACATCTTGAATAAATTTGATGCAAGCAATCTTAATGATGTTATTTCTGATGATGAATACCCAACAACAGCATTTTATCTTTCTTTTGAAAACAGCATTTTATGATAAGCCATTGTGATTCAAAGGTTACAAGCCTCACAAAAATTGCCAAAATAACCATCAATTACCAACATGATATCAATTAACTTTAAATTTAACAGGGCTCCAGATAAGATGCGTATACGCGTAAATTACGCATGGAAATAACACGTTTACGCATTCAAAACAAAATTTAAGCGTATGAAAACGCACACAAAATTCAGGTTACGCATTGAGCAACATTTTTTTAGCGTAAACGTAACCGAAAATAAACTCGGTGATTATTTCGTCTGAACGCTTTGCAAGCGTCTACCGGTAACTTCCTGTAGTTCCGACCATCATCGGTTGTTATCGTATGTATAGTATGGTGGTGAAATTTACTTCGTAACTATGAATGTTTGCAACGTCTTAAGGTAACTTCCTGTAGTTCCGACTATCATCGGTTATTATCGTATGTATAGTAAGGTGGTGGAATTAACACAATTTCATAAACATCCGGTACAATGTCGCTGTCTAATTGACTCGTATTTTAAGCCGAAAAAAAAATCGACCGGAAAGTAATTGTGAAGGTTATAATTAATGAAATAATTAGCGCTGCCACGTATGAGCAACAAAACATTCCTCAGGTTCAGATAAAACGTATGCTGTTTGGAAATGCAAGATTACAAGAAATGACTTTGACATATCTTGTGTTACAAGTATAATAATACAATAAACATGGAAGCATATTAAATGTTTTACTCTTTTACAAACATTTTAAGGAGTAAAAATACTCCTGCCAAATTTCAGATTTCAAGTTTTACTCATTCACAAAAAAATCAATGAGTAAATACTCAATGCCCTAAAAAATTATCTGGAGCCCTGATTTAAGCAATATATTCAATGCCTTTATCATTAATCAATGTAGAACTTTATTATCACTGGGTTACTATGCAACAGAAGACACAATAGTTGTAAAGCAAGAAAAAAGTTCATCTATTAGCTGCTGTAATTGCATGCAATTTCTTTCACAATATTGAAGGGAAAAATCCTTATTGGAAACATCTAACATATTACTTTAGAGAGGATATTTTCATAAGAAACTATAAACCTTAAGACTTTTTGCCAAGTTCAATCAATTACAGTAAAACATGTTTAGTGAGAAACTTGCATCCAGGTATATAAACATTGTTTTCATACAAACACAGGAAGGTAAATGCACCAATTAGCCAAACAATTAGACACTGTATGTAAATATTACTGAAAGATATCTGAAACATTTATTTTCATAAGCATAGACTAGTGAGAGAAGTAAAACATTTCCAACTTCTTGTAAATCTTTCCTTTATGATAAGGTAACACTTGTAGAGATATTTGAGCCGTGTCACGACAAAACCAACGTAATGCGTTTGCGACCAGCATGGATCCAGAGCAGCCTGCACATCTGCGCAGACTGATCAGGATCCTTGCTGTTCGCTTACCAACTCTATTACAAGTAGAGAAACTGATAGCGAACAGCATGGATCCTGATCAGACTGCCCGGATGTGCAGGCTCATCTGGATCCATGCTGGATGCAAACACACTATGTTGGTTTTGTCATGACATGGCTCATTTAAAGTAATTACAAGTTATCATGGACAATAATGTCAGCAGTTAGTAACCCTTGTAGTGACATTTCAGAGAAAAGATGTGGTAATAAATTCTCTGAATGTTCATAGAGATGTTGTTTATCTGTGTTTGATAATTCTATCTTACATTTATAATCAAGATATTAATACTAGATGAAGTTTCTAAATCTGTTATTACTTATAGAAATGTCTCTAAACTTGTTGGAAAGAAAAATTAGTTGATAAGAAAGTATGGAAAATCAGAATATTTGGCAGATTGATCATCAATTTATTAATAAATTAGCAAAATAATTTTTTTATTGTCTAAAAAATTACAAAGAAGAGTTTCCTAATAAAAAATAAAATATTAAATGCATTTTCCATTATCAAAGTTCAAAGCTGGAAGTAAAGTTGAGCTCTTCAATAAAACAAGTAAGTAGCATCAACACATTCAAAGCATTATATAAACCTTTCTAGAATAGACCAACTAAAAACACATGAACATAATTACAGTTCCATATACACTGGACTCAAAATAGATTATTTTTTTACTTTTCAAAGAATGGGAGAAAAAGAAATCTTCATTATGATAACATATCAAAACATCAAAGAATATATTCTTTAGACATAATCCTGTAATAATGTTTGGTAATATAAAACACTTCAGACTAACACAGCACTAGCTCTGCACTACAATTATACCTCAACAAGGCAGTCTGAAGACAAGCTGTATCCCCTACTCCAGTGTATAAGAATTATTAACCTTTGACATGAAAATTTAATGACTTTTCCCAGTTGTTAGAATGCTAAGGATCTTTTCAATCCCTTTTAAGGACATTTCACTGGCTTAAAGGTGCCAAATTATTTTTTTTAAAAAATCAGTTGTTTAAAAATTCTAAAGTGAACATGAGTAGTGTCATTCGGAGAGCGAGAGGGAGTTGGGGGCAAGGGCAGTTTCGGTTTAGGGATTATGACGTAATGTTAATCTTTTGAAGTGGTCTTCGAGTGTACTTGAGAGGTAGAATATCCTTTTGAAGTGGTCTGCCAATGTACTTAAAAGGTAGAATATCCTTTTGAAGTGGTTTTCAATGGCACTTGAAAGGCAAAGTGTCCTTTTAAAAGATGTTTAATTAAAAATAAAGATGGCGGATATTTGCATAATTAAAAATAAAGATGGCGGCTAGTTCCGTAGTGAAAAACAAAGATGGCGGATAGTTTACCTGGCAACCAATGGGGAGAGTGATGCATGAATGAGTGATTATAGGCAGTATGTGTGTGTATTGAAATGTTTTCTCAATAAACATTATTGATTAATCTCAATTTAAGCTTGGTTTATTACTTTAAACACAGAAATTCGTGCAGGATTGATTATTATTATTATTATTATCATCATCATATTTTGTGATTATCATTATTACTATTAATATTACAATTATTCTCTTCTTCTACCATCATCATTATTATTAAATCATGGGAGAAAACGTGGCAGAGAAGAACGGCTCAAATGTAGCCCATTGCAGATTAATGTGCATGTTTGAGTTTTCATTACAAACATATTACGCTAAGGCAGTGGTGAACAAACTGGAAAAGGTCGCGCGCTTACTTTGTGACGGCTGCAAACACGAATACCTGTCTCAGTTAAACCACTCGTGCATGATGCTGGACCGGGAAAGCAAGCTCGAGCACTATTTCTGGGACGTGACTGAAACATTGGACGACGAGAAAATAATCGAACAATGGTACAGATCACAGACATACACGGATCACGACCGTGCCGTCCTGGACTTATTCGTGCTGAAATACAGATGTAAGGACTACAGAGAGACAAGAATGAAAAACAACAACTGGCAGGGAAGCGTTTCTAAAATAGCCCAGACAATGCTGTCTATAGAAAAACTATAACGATGTGATAGGTAAGTTAAAGGAATTTGCTGTTTTGGCAAGTTGTATGTTTTCTCGTTACTTTTTTTGTGTTTATGAGAATCAAATGATAAATTGACTTTGTAAAATGAGTTTCTTTCGTAAATAATTATCCTCATTAAAAAATCGCTAGCGCGCATGCGCAGTCAGTCAATAGTACGTATATGATGCGATTTCTTTTATACGGACAGTCTAGCAATGGAGAACGGTGACATTAGTCAGTTTAAAAGCAGGGACTGTGAACACTTCACGGATGAAAATGATTCCCTTATTAAATTTATCGCTCCTGCAACTATGTTACTCGTGAGTTTACATAATATGTTTTACAGGATTATTTCATATGCTAAACGGTATAATAACGAGCAATTATATGTCAGCTCATTTTTCATGCTCACATGCTATCAGATACATAACTACATGAACAGATAGATAGATTGATAGTAGGACAAATAAAAGGATAGACAGATAAATAAATGAATAGATATGATTTGTATCACACGGGTATGTTCTGTTTGAATTATTTCAGGTTGGTCAAAGCAACTCTGGTAAAACATCGTATATGCGAAAGTTAGTGGAAATGGGTGACAGGTTGTTTACAATTCCCCCATCTAAATACATCTGGCTTTACAATATCTACCAAGACCTATATGATCAGATCAGCGGCACGGTACCGAACGTCCAGTTTGTGCACGGTCTGCCTTCAAGATCCGACATAGAGCAATGGGCCGAAAAAGAACGACATCTCGTGCTAGTAGTGGACGATTTGTATCACTTGCTGATAAATTCGAGGGACATACTTGACTTATTCGTGTTACTTTGCCATCATCTTACCGTGACGGTCATTATTAGTTGTCACAATATATTCATGAATTCAAAGTACGCAAAAACAATGACTACGAATTTGCATTACATTCTCTTGTTTAGACTACAAAATCGCCTTCAGCTATCTACCCTCGGCACGCAATTATTTGTTCACAATAAGAAATCCAAACATTTCCTTGCCGTCTATGACGACGTCATGGCAACGGATCAATACAGCCCCTTGATCATTGATCTGAGTCCACAGACAACGCATTCTGATTATAAACTCAGGTCAAACATTTTACCTGGACAGTTACCGGTTGTTTACGAACTGGAATAATCACTGAACGGACGGATAAATAATAATAAATACAACTTAAATCATTGTGATGGACAAAATAGCTCGCCAGATTGACTTTTTGCGCTATTTGGTAGTTGCGGTTCCCAGTCAAAGGAAGCAGCTTTTTCGCTATCTTTCAAGGGAACAGATTAACGTTATATCGGAAATCTGCCTGAATCTGTTACACGGTATTATAGAAATCACGGACCAGGACTTTTGTGAACTGAATAGACATAAAAACACTTTCAGAAAACTGGCCGTTAAGTCAGTGGATAACAATACAAAACGAGAATTGATGTACAAAGACGCTACTGGCATAAGAACTCTTGTGTCCGTATTTCTGAAACAATTCGATAAAGATTCTGAGAGTGATTCGTCTGCTAGCGACGACTATCAATCACCACAGAAACCAGCAACATACGACAGAAATGCAGACGAGAGGGGAGAAGGGATTTCGCAAACTGATACTTATTCCAGCGTGTCGATATCAGCAGTTGATTCAGAAACAACAACAACAACAACAACAACAGCATCAGCATCAACAACAGACAATAAAAGACCCCCAGCCATCCAGTCGGCCGTCGGCGACAAGTCGCCAGGAAATAGAAGCTTTCTCGACTGTTTCGCCGACGGTGTCGGAGAAACAGCATGGAAATCAAATGAATAGCTTATCCAAAGCCAGCCCCACTTCCGGTACAAAACAAAATGGCGAACAATTTTCAAAGAGCGTTTCAGAAGAGGGCGAGCGGTCAATTACTAAACGACTCACAGGAATTATAACTCACTCTTTTCCTAAACATTTGAGAAAAGAAGCTATATCTCTGTTACTATTTCTACTTAAGTACGGAAAGGGCGTGTTTCACGTGCAAGGGTGGGGCAGTTTTCTCATTAATGGACGAAAAATGGATTCCAGCATCATAGATTATATATTCTCTTCTCTGGCGAATGAGAGGACTCATCACCGGCCTGGAGACTTTAATTACTTTCAGATCGCTATGGACCAAATAAATGTGCCCGCTCACTTAATGTCAAAGACAACTAGCAAAAGAACAGACTTGTCAGTGAAAAGCAAAAGTAGAAAATGGCTTCCTTATTGACGATTTTTAACAACATTTTTTTCTGTTGTTCATTTTGACTTTTTTTTTTGCTATGCTTTTCAATATGTCATTGCCGTAGTATTGCCTTAGTCATTTATTTGTAAATAAATTAGTAATTTTATCTCATTTGTTCTTCCTTTCATTTGTGATAATAAGATAAAAATCGCATTATAGCTTTACTATCCCACAGATTGTTGTTGTTGTTGTTGTTGCTGTTGTAATTGCAACAGATATGGGACTGAACTAAACTTTGTTGAGTTCTACACGCTCTCTAAGGTGCTATAACAACACAATTGCAGTATTCCTTTAATAATATTTAATATGAAAACAAGAGATTAAACATCAGTATAGTGAGAAGCAGATTTCATGTCAATTGTTAAAGTATGTACATCTTATGTATTAACTAGTCTTTTCAACAAAGAGTAAACATATCAAACAGAACAGAACAGAACAGAAGATTTATTTAGTCGTATGCATGGTACAGCATATAGACATATACAAAAATATATACATTCATGTACATGGCAATAATATTCTTATATAAATACACATTTCATCATATCATATTTACGAGAGTGTTGTATTTTAAACACGGTTAAGTAACTCTTGCCGTTTGTTAAATGCCTTTAACAAATATATAATGCAATGTTTCGAAGTAAAAGTTTGTTCTCTGTTTTCATAAGTTTATCAAATTTCATCTTTCTTACTAGATCTCTGCTTATAATATCTTGGAATATATTTCATACGTAGATCATTAAAAATGTAACATTCCAGTTTAAAATGAAATTCATCCTCAATGGTTAGCTTATCACACATGTTCTGTTCACATTCTATTAGTCTATTTTGCCTTTCAACATTCCTGTGTCTTCCCTATTCGATATTAAGACAATGCGACGACATTCTTATTTTAAATATTTGTCTAAGTTTGAAATTATTTGTTTTCATAACATACACAGATAACTCTAGACCCTCTTTCAATCCTATAAAAAGAAGTCAAACTTTGGCTATCATCCATTCGAATTCTACATTCTGTAATAAAATTGTCAATCAGTCTAGTTTTCAGTACGTGTAAAAATACATTCATATTAACAGATGTTGGAAATAGCCAAACTTCAGCTAACCCTAATTGAGTCAGTAACATTTTAACATTATATAACCAATTTTTTTCACCATTTTCACAATCAAACAACAGTTTCTTATATATGTTCTCTAAAATACAATTTTCACTTTTTACTATTTTCAACCAGTATTTTACAATACGCATTTTCCAGTTTACATGCAATGGAAATCGGCCTGTTTCAACATAAACAGCAGCATTACAAGTTGACATTTTAACATTTAACAGTCTCTTTAGGAATTTTCTATGAAGTCTCTCAAGACATTCTGCATTATTTAATCCCCATATCTCACATGAATAACATAATATAGATGTCACATATGCGTCAAATAAATTGAGTTTAATCAAAGAGTAAACATATTATGATTACAATGCAAACGTTGAATCACTTAGAGTTAAGTAAATATACGCGTTATGGGGATTATTTACAGTATTTTTCACTTTCTTTCTAGAAACGCAGTAAGGACAATTTTTTCATATTCTGACTTCTTTACGGGTATTTATTATGGTATGTAAGTACCGTGTGCAGTTTGAAAGCTATATTCTTTTTATTTTGAAATAATTTACTTTTTAATACATTTGCAAATTTTCATAAATATGTTTATTAATGACTAACATTTTTCAAAGACAAAAAACACTAGTAATAGTTTTTTTCATAAAGACATATTTTTTAAAGACAAAAAACACAAGTAATAGTTTTTTTTTCAAAAAGACATTTTTTCAAAGACAAAAAACATAAGTAATAGTTTTTTTTCATAATATGGTTGAAGTACCGGGGAGGGGGATAGGAGGTAGTATTGTTAAAAGCCGTAAGAGGCAATAATGACCGTCCAAGCAAACATGTTTTGGTAATATTGTTAAAAGCCCTAAGAAGAAAAATAAAGACCGTCCAAGCAAACATGTATTGAAAAGCGATATGTGACAACGGTGGACGCCCAAGCAAAGGAGATTTACTCTGAACAGAGTTTAGAGTGGCTTGCCTTGCCTTTGTTTGTTGTTAATCTCACTTCTTCTACTGATAAAATGAGTGACCTAAGGAAGCCATGTCTTTCATCGTTGTCGTAATTAATCCTCATTGAAAACAAGTAATGCTCGCACCTTTCACCCACCTTTCACTACAAACTGAGCAATATAGATGATTGAGTAAAATCACTTATTCCGATTACGGTAAAAAACTAGAAAGTGATTGGTTAGGTCAGTTTCTAGAGAGTGATCACGTGGTTTCTGAGTTTGTCCTTTTAGTACAGTCACTGTACCGGGGGTTGTATTTCACATTTTCAAAACGCAAGTTGTCGCCAAAGGATATATTTTTACTTTAAAAAAAAACAAACAACAAATTTCATCATGGATGCAGCAAATTTCATCATGGATGCAGACATCGTTAGACTTGATGAAAACACCACACTGAGGTTTGTTTTGTCTTTTGCACATGCATTGTTAATTCAACAAGTGTTATTCCTCTAGCTTTTAAAGCAGCATGCCTTCATATTCATGTAAATGTATATGGAATTTTAATAACGAACAAAGAACTACATTTTTTAAAAGTAAGACGTTGTTATAAGAACATACAAAGTATTTAAACATTAATGACGTTAATGGCAAAAGAAATTATTAATATAGGAATAAATAGCCTTAACTCCGTTAGTCACGCAAAATGCATATGATTATAAAGATAGTATAATTGTACATGATACATTAGGTGTACTTCTCGTTAAGTCGCTGTACATTTTTTATTTTTATTTTCTTTAAATCATTTGGTTCATCTGCAGGCATGTAGCTTTAAAGAGATAATTTCAGCGCTATATCCATATATATATATCATTTTCTTCTTTGAAACGCATAAATGACTAACTTATTTTTCGATCTTTTTCTGTGTTTTTTTTATATATATATATTTATTTTTTCATTGCCATGTCAAGTAAGTCGAATGTATAAACGACCAGATTCGTAGATGTTAATGAAAACTAAAAAAAAAAGACATTGTTATATGAACATGCAAAGCAATTTACATATTAATGACGTTAAAGATTAAAAAAATATTAATATAAATAGCATTTACTCCGTTAGCAGCGTAAAATACATCATATGGTGATAAAAAATACGAAACCAAAAAACGAACATGAATGGTAAATTATGGGTAATTTATTTCTCTGTTGTAAATATATCAACTTCTCTTAAAATCATCGTACATTTTTTCACAAGATTCATTAATATTTAATCATTTGGTTCATCTGCAGGCATGTAGCTTTAAAAATAAAACTTCAGCGCTATATCCATATATATATATATGAGCCGCGTCACGAGAAAACCAACATAGTGCGTTTGCCACTAGCATGGATCCAGACCAGCCTGCGCATCCGCGCAGTCTGATCAGGATCCATACTGTTCGCTTACAAACCCAATAGCAAATAGAGAAACTGATAGCGAACGGCATGCTGGTCGCAAATCCATTACGTTGGTTTTGTCGTGACACGGCTCATATATAATTTTCTTCTTTTCAACGCATAAATGACTAACTTATTTTACGATCTTTTTTTTTTTTTTTTTTTTTTTTTTTTTGTGTATTTTCTATTTTATTTTGGTTTGTTTTTATTCATTCATTTTTTTCTGCGATGTCACTTAAGTAAAATGTAATAACGACGACACTTTATCTTGATGACACAATAGTTAACATTATTGCCATCAATATCATCTTTGCTAGCAACGTATTTGTTTTATATCATATTGTTTGTTTCACTTAATGCTGTTTATCGTATTAGCTTTTTAGATTTTTATCACAGTCATCATTTTTCACAAATGTTTTGTACTAATCAAATTTTAATACTACTTTTCATATCACTAAATTTTAATGAAGTCTATATTCATTGTAATTGCAGAATTGACAATGTTGAAGGCAAAATCGTAGGAACGATCAAAAACACAGAGACAGGTGCGGAGATCGTTCTGAGAAGACCCGGACTGATGACTTTTTATAAGTCTTTCGACCTGGTCATAACCAAATTCGAAGAGATGGTCGCGACTAGCCACAGTCCCCCTGTTGAGATAACCACCCCCTCGGACGACGAGGCCACCACCCCAAGAAGGCCGGGGCTAGGTCATTCTTTGAGGAGAATTCTCGAAGATTCTCCATCAGATCACAGCGACAGTGATAACGATGAATCTGACGAGGGGATATTCTTTAGCCAAACGAAATACCAGTCTGGATCGGAAGATTCGGTCCAGTACGAGGACGACTGTGAGATCCAGATGATTTTAAATGATGAGAGTGCGGAGGTGGTCGACCTGACGAATGACGACGACGACGACGACGAAATACAATCCGAATTCGAGGAGGAGGATGAGGAGGAAGATGTGTCGAGTGTCGTTGAGCTATGGGAGACGGACTATGATAGTGATTGGTCCACCAGTGTAGACATGGAGGAGGAAATGTTATGATGTCTAAATGTGTATGAGTGTTATGTGAACGAAACTTTTGTAATTTAATTATTAATTGAAATTAATTGAAATTGTACTTTTGCATGTATATATTTAATATACCTTTTCTTGTTTATTAAAAAATGATCTAAGACATGCGTTATTCTATATATTCATATACAAATCCTGGGATATTTAAGTATACTTATAATTCTACTTGTAATTTCGATGATGATGAGGACAGTTATAAACAACGATGGCACCCCCCTCCCCCGCCCCCCCCCAAAAAAAAAAAAAAAAAAAAAACAATACAAAAACAAACAAAAAACATCCTTTTTCAATACGACAAGCCATGCCCCCTCGTCCACACCGTCCGCCCCCATAGATTAGAAAAATATACATAAAATCGTTGTTACAATTGTTGTCATTATCACCTTGATTACTTTTGTTATCATTTTTTTGTGGTTATTGTCGTTACAAAAGCAACTGTGTCAAATAGGAGGCAAATTTCATGGTGTTCATTACTATTTAGGTGTTTTCTCTTCTTGCGAAAAGCTAGAGAAATCGAGCTGGAAATAGATAGTTACCGATTTTTTCAATATTTACCTCCCTTGCCGAAGTGGCAGCCATTTTTTGGGGGTACAGTCGATAATATAATATAAATCTAGTTGAAAAAGTTCATCATTCCGCCAGTCGATATGTGGTTCTACTTGTGTGACCGATTGTGTGATTAGTCACAGGAGCTTGAAATTCTATCAATAATCGCTAAAAAGTCCGATTTAAAACAAAATCCATACCTATATATAAAAAACATTTTATTTTATATATAGGTATGGATTTTTTTT